ACTTCCCCAAGGAGACATACAGAGGGACCAGAGACATATGAGCAGATGTTCAATATCACACTACCTATCAGACAGATGCAAATTAAAACTACAATGAGATACCACCTCACACTAGTCAGAATGGCCATCATAAACAATTCAACAAACAACAAGTGCTGGAGAGGATGTGGAGGAAAGGGAATCCTAGTGCACTGTTGGTGGGATTGCAGACTGGTACAACCACCACGGAAAATAGTATGGAATTTTCTAAGAAAACTAAAAATGGAACTGACTTTTGACCCAGCAATTCCACTGCTAGGATTATAACCTAAGAACCCTGAAACACCAATCCAAAAGAACCTATGCACCCCAATGTGCATAGCAGCACAATTTACAATAGCCAGGTGCTGGGAGCAACCTAACGTCCCATCAATAATAGAATAAATTAAAAAAACTATACATTTAGACAAATACCATATGATCTCACCTTTAACAGGAACTTAATCAACAAAACAAACAAACAAGCAAAATATAACCAAAACACTGAAATAGAGAACAGGCTGACAATGACCAGAGGGGAGAGGGTAGGGAATTTCAGGGGAAAAGGATGAAGGGTTTGCAGGAACAATCATAAGGGACACATGGACAATAACTGAGGAGAATGGGTGGAAACAGGAGGTGGGGAAGGTTGGGGTGGGGAGAAAAGGCAGAAAGCTGTACTTGAACAAAAATTAAAAAATTAAAAATAAATAAATATTAAAAAAGAAAATCTGAATAATTTATTACTGTTTTATTATTAAGAATTATTCATTTTATAGAACCTAGAACCATACATATCATACTCATAATAGGATTTCTTTCAGTATGTATTGATTGAATCTTTGTCAAAAATTGTTTTTTAATGAGGAATTAAATGATGTGTGTAACTGAATTATTCAATTATTAAATATATTTGTAGAGAAATATGCATTTTCATAATCAACAGAGACAAAGATTGTATTTGAAATAGGAGGCAAACCTAGACTAAAATAATGTATTGGCTTATTGAACACATATTACTTTGATGAAACTTTCAAAGTAGATAAATCAGTAATTATGCTTGACTGTGCAAACACTTTTTATTCTAAATTTTGGATTTTTCAATTTGTTAGAATCATATTCTCTATTTCATTCTTGCATCTTGTCAGATTTCTAAAGTTTTTCTTTATTGATTGATTTTAGAGAAAGAAAAGAAATGAGAGACAGAGAAAGAGAGAGAAACATAGATTTGTTGCTCCACTTATTGATTCATTCATTGCTTGATTTTTGTATGTGCCTTAACTGAAGATTGAACCTTCAACCTTGATGTATCAGGATGATGCTCTAACCAACTGAGATACCTGGCCATGGCTTAGACTTGTATCTTAAATATTGAAATAATTGCAACATTTTCTTTTTAAGAGCAGAATGTCTTTAAACAATAAATGAACCTCTTTTTAAAAAACATCTGTATTAAAAATTTACTTATGGGTACCTAGGTTGCTTCCGGCATTTGGCTATTGTAAATTGTGCTGCTATGCACATTGGGGTGTATAGGTTCTTTTGGATTGGTGTTTCAGGGTTCTTAGGTTATAATCCTAGTAGTGGAATTGCTGGGTCAAAAGTCAGATCCATTTTTAGTTTTCTGAGAAAATTCCATACTATTTTCCATGGTGGTTGTACCAGTCTGCAATCCCACCAACAGTGCACTAGGATTCCCTTTCCTCCACATCCTCTCCAGCACTTGTTGTTTGTTGAATTGTTTATGATGGCCATTCTGACTGGTGTTAAGTGGTATCTCACAGTTTAGGCGCCCATCAGTAAATGAGTGGATCAAAAAACTATGATACATTTACACAATGGAATTCTATGCAGCAGAAAGAAAGAAGGAGCTCCTACCCTTTGCAACAGTATGGATGGAACTGGAAAGCTTTATGCTAAGCTAAATAAGCCAGACGGTGAAAGACAAATACCCTATGATCTCACCTTTAACAGGAACCTAAACAACAAAACAAACAAACAAGCAAAATATAACCGAAGACACTGAAATGGAGAACAGGCTTACAGTGACCAGAGGGGAGAGGGTAGGGAATTTCAGGGGAAAAAGATGAAGGGTTTACAGGAACAAGTATGAAGCATACATCGACAATAACAAGGCGGGGGTGGAAATGGGAAGGAGGTGGGAAGGGCTGGGGGAGTGGGCTTGGATGGGAGTAAAAGACAGAAAATCGTACTTGAACAACAGTTGAAATAACATAAAATTTAAAAAATCTGTATTAAAAATTAAGATGTTTTAAATGGAACTTATGTGGGAATGTGTAGAAGTCAGAGATGCAATATGACACCAGCTGCAAGGGCATCTGGGAAATATTGGACTTTGTTTAACCTTCTGTGGCTGTTTAACTCTCTAGCCTCAGGCATTGCTGACTACCTAGAAAGTCAGAATGCCCTCCCATAATATATATCATGTCCCCAGGAAGGAGGGTAATAAACATATAGAGTGTGAATAATTGCTTGATATTATCTGTTAACTTAGAAATGCATTGTTCTTTCTGATGGTCTATGTAACTGCCCTTAATATACTTTTACTGTTAACCCCTATAAAAAAAGAGATGTTGTCCTGTGAGGGGTATTGATTTATTCCCTGCCAGCAAGCAGCTGCTTTCCTCAAATATGAAAATTTTTCCTATCAAAGTTCTTATGAATTTGAATAAGGCTATGTGTCAGTTCTTTGTATCCATCTTGAATTTAGACTTTTGGCGCTTTCCTCAAACTGCATGCTTCTCTTCCTTTTCAAAGAAAAGATTTTCTGGAATCAGCCCTGTGATATTCTAGTTAGATCTGCCTGATAAACATAGATATCTGATTTTTATCTTTAATGGCTCATTAGCAATCAAGACAAAGCATGTTTTATTTCATATACCTTCGGCTATAATATAATTTTCAGCAATGCAGTACTTTAGAATGAAGCCCAAATGTACAAATTGTAATTTTGCTTTTAATTAATTAAATAAATGCCACTCAGCATTTCATAAAAACTTTCAATTTCTTCATCTGCAAATGACAGTTAAGCTAAATTATCTTTATGAACTCTATTCACTAAAACATTCTGAGACTGTAAATTTCAGGCAAACTCTATGCTGTCCATCTTCAGGAAGATTTAATCATCTTCCAAGAACCTTAGAGTTCTGTAATTCTGCCAATCCAGCCAGCATGTAGAAGACACAGGGGTACTGCTGCTCAGCAGTTCTAAGACACTTCTACTCTATGGTGGGAGAATGTCTACCAATATCTGAATTGATAGAGATTCTCAAAGGGCTCATTGCAAGAGAGAAAGAAATCAATACTACAAAAGCAAGGATAAGATGATCAAAATAGTATTGTCACTATAAAATGAATCACCTGAACCCTACATATAATTTGATATGTATTCTGAATCAATAAACCAGAACAATTATGTTTAATAAAAAAAAGGTGTGGGAAATCAGTCTTACACCAGCCTCTATAGAGACTGGCCATTATCCAGTCCCTACACCATGAATTTCATATGTGTTTCACTTGTGTTTCATTCACACAAATATCCATGCAATTCCAATGAGTGATATACCATTCAAGACATAAGATAACTTTTTGATGGAAATAGTAGACTTCCTACCTTCAATACTAAGACTATCATTATATGCATTTAAAACAGAAAATAGAATTGAATTTAAATTTTTGCTTCTAAATTTGAGCTTCTAAAATATGAATTCAATTTTATGATAATTTACCAACTGATGCTAAGCTAAAAGGATGAATAAGTTATACGGTCTGACCTTAAAGTATTGAAAATATAAAAACAGCTTATTGAGGGGGAGAGGTGTGCAGAAAAGGCAGAAAACTGTATTTGAACAACACTAATTTTTTTTTAAAAACTTGCTAATTTTCTGAAAGAACTTAGGTTTTACACTATGAACTGGGAAAAAATTTTAAAGGTTTTATTTATTTATTTTTTTAGAGAGGGAAGGGAGGGAGAAAGAGAGAGAAATATCAATGTGTGGTTGCTGGGGGCCGTGGCACATGCAACCCAGGCATGTGCCTTGACTGGGAATCGAACCTGTGATGCCTGGTTTGCAGCCTGTGCTCGATCCACTGAGCTATGCCAGCGAGGGCTGAAAAGTTTTTCAAAGGAGATATTTTTGCAAGACTTTTAACACATGACACTTCATTAAAAGAAAAAATCTTCATAAATGTTAATAACTGAAGGTTTTGTTGGTTTGTTTTTAACTCTATAATAGGTAATCTAGTTATGGTTGTTTTTCTCAGGTAATTTATACACTAAAATATTTTAAACTGTTTAAACACATGTGTGAAATATTTTAACCTATGAATGTTGTCATTTTACCTGACAAATGAAAAGATATGCTCTGAATGCCCTTTGTTTAGTTAAAAAAGATAGACCTTTTTCCTAAAAAAGAATAGTTGCATTCCCTGGGGACCCAAGCCCAGGCCCAAGTCCATGCACTTTGACTGCACACTTGGCTGGCCTTTAATACCCTTGGAAGAGACACATGTCACCAACTCATACGGCAGTGTGATGGCAGTTCTACAAAGAATCTGAACTGCCATGTATTAATTCTTAAATTATAATAAGAAGACAGGTACACACTCATTTGGCTTAATTAAATTGTCCTTCTCCATAAACTATGCACTGAATGATTTCAGGTAGTAGAAGTGTTGAAAGTAATCCTTTTCACATAAATTGTTATAAAGTAGAAGACATCTGAGGTCCCTTTGAGCACTAAATTTCAATGTTATATAAATATTTTAAAGGAAGAGCAACTATCTGAGGCTTATTCTGCAAGTACTCTTTCACTTTCTAGTCTTGCAGAAACAGATCCTACTCTGGAATAAGAAAAACCCATCACACATCCCTCCACCAAAAGGGAAGCTCCACTTTCACAAAGGAGGAACAAGTGTTTCCCATTTATAAAATTTGAAAAGCACAAAACCATTTAACCTACCTCCTCACAGGCAGTCCTGAAATCCATGTGCTATGGCACTGCAAAGGATTTTGTCTGAAAAGAAAGAAATGGTAAGCCATTGAGCACAGTGAGTGTAAGAAAGAGAACACTAAGAAAGTGTAAGAAATTATGAAGCACATTCTGGGGTCACACTATGTTTACGATCACCTGTGTAGAACAAGAACTTCCGGAGTAAAATGATGAGAAAAGGAAGAATTGAAAAAGTCTGAATTCTTGCCTTTGTGATGTATATATTAGAATGTGCATATCAGTGCCCTGTTCCACTCAGCATTCAGACATGATCTACACATGGTTAACTTCTTTCAAGTGTTAGCTCATTCCCAACACTCATTTTGAAACTTCAGTTAGCAATTGAGAATGAAATTTCAAAAGCAGTAATTAAAAGTTGACTTTCATGAAATTATCTCTTGAAAATAGGTTGAGTAATCTTTCTGTTTTTAATTAAAAAGTTACATGCATGAATAATTCTATCTGGAACTTAAAATTTTTCCACAAACAATATGACGTAAGGAAACAAACTATCAGAATTGATAATATGAAGATAATATTAAAATAACTTAATATATAAAATATACTCATATAAAACAGATTCATTTTATGGATTTATGGACACTATAGTACCTAAATGGTGTACATGAACTTAAATGAAGAAAAATACATTTAAAGTTTGTTTTATTAATGCTGTTAGAGAGTTTTCATTGTGACAAACTTAACAACACTAAGAAAAATCATTAAAATTTACATCCTGACACTAAGAAAATGCAGAGCTTAACCCCAACCCTAACCCCTATGTTCATTGCAGTGTTATTTATACTTACCAAGATATGGAAGCAGCCCAAGCTGTTGTTTTATTCAGCTCAATAGATGAGTGGATAAAACAACTATGGGACATTTACACAATGGAATACTACTACTACATAAAAAAGAAGAAAAAAATTACCTTTTGTGACAGCATGGATGGACCTAGATAATATGATGCTAAGTAAAATAAACCAATCAGAGAAAGAGAAATACCATATGATTTCACTCATATGTGGAATCTAATAAACTACCCAAATGAACAAGCAAAATAGAGACAGACTCATAGAGGGCAGGATGACATCTCTGGGCAGGGAAGGTTATTGGATGGAGGGATTGCGCAAAAAGGAAAACAGACTCATGGACATGGACAACAGTGTGGTATTTGTGGGGGTGGGGGGGAAAAGGATATATGGTAATAGAAAAAATGCAAAAAAAACTGGAATAAAAGCTATTCAAATGTTTTTATTTTAAAAAATTTCTGAGACTTTTTTGCATAAACTTTTATGTTGAAACAGTTTTCTATCTATAGAGATTTGTAAAATTAGAACAGACATTTTATATAATCCACATCTTTTTTTTCCTCTTTACTAGCAACTTATATTTGTGTGACACATTTGTAAAATTTAATGAACCATTATTGTATTATGGGTAAAAAACATAAAGATATCTGTGTTCCATGTGATCACCAAAGGGTGAGTGAGGGGAAAATTTAAGAAATCAAGTGAACTGAATGAACTTCTTTGTGGCTACCAATCAACCCCTTTTCCCTACTCCTGTCATTGCCCAATGAACAAATGAGAAAGGGACATTTAGGACAGAAATGGAAGCTACTCAGGAGTTCAGCAACATGGACTTCCATACTCCAAGGCCAACCTGGCTGCAGTCACTGCTCAGTAACTAATTCTTCCAGCATCAGAAGATCAACACTGAATGTGATCAAGGACGATTCCCTGAGACAATTAGCCAGCTATCTGGTCACAAGTTAATATCATTGAATTACCTCCATATTGGAAAGGAAACTGTTTTCTTCTCACTGGAGTAAACACTTTGGAGACAGATATGCCTTCTCTATAAGCAATGTTTTTACCAAAACTACTATATGCAGACTTATAGAATGCCTCATCCATTGTTATGGTATTCTGCAGAGCATTGCTGTGTAAGAAACTCAACAGCAGATGAAGCGGGGAACAAGCCCATGCTCATGAAATTTACATATTTCCATATTTTCTACCATCCAGAATCAAACTAGCTTGATAAAACAGTGCAATGTCCTTTGGAACTTCAGTTGCAGTATCAGTTAGGTGCAATAGTATCTTGCAGGGTGAGATAAAGTTCTTCAGAAAGCTGTATATGCATTGATTCAGCTTCCAATACATGGTGCTCTTTCTCCCCTAGTCAAAATTCACAGGTTCAGGTATCAAGGGATGAAATGGGAGTGACACCATTCAGTATGCCTCAGTGATGCACGAGCAAGATTTGTGCATCCTATAACATCACATTCCTGTGATGTTATGCTTTGCTGGCCTATAGGTGTTAATTTTCATATAGGGTATGTAGCAAAAAGTCTGCAACCAATACAAGCTACAGGAATAGTCAACAAGGAAGTAAGACAACCCCCTACCAGCTTTACAGCTTAAAACTTGTAGACATCAGCTGGATTCAACACAGCAACTAATTTAATCTACTGTTAACACCTAGCCACATGCTACACTTATAATACATTAGCATGTTAAACAACACACCCTGTGACACCATAATCAGAAATGGAAAGCCCATATAGGGACACAAAATGGCCAATGAAACTCCTATGAGAAATCTCCAACTCTTTTCCTGGAATATCGCATATATTCCTCCTCCTTGTTGAACACCCTATATGTCATTAAATGAACCTCAATAAAGAAAACACATTTCACTAAAGGGGGGATGCTCTACAGCCCACTCTGTGTCATTACTTCACTAATAAACCCACTTTCACTTTAAACTCTGCTGGCAGGGGTTTTAATTCTTTCCTTTGTGAAACCAAGACCCACAGTGGGTGTTGGACCCTTGTGTCCCCAGACCCCAGAAGACCTGCATCATCTCCAAAGGGGGACAAGTTTCCAGAAAGAGACTCAATGATTCCATTGAACTGGGAGTTAAGACTGCCACCTAGACACTTGGACTTCTCATGGCTCAGAATCAACATATGAAAAAGTAGCTACTTCTTTGGTGGGGTGATTGATCCTGACTACCAAAGGAGATTGGACTACTACTCCACATTGCAGGTAATGAAGCACATGTATGTAATGGGGAAGATATTTTAGGGCCTTTCTTAGTATTACTATGTCCTGTAAATAAATTTAATAGAAAACTACAGCAACTCAGTTAAAGCGGAGCTGCTAATAAATGGTCCAGACCCTTCAGGAATGAAGGTTTGGATTATCTCATGAGATAAAAAACCATGACCAGCTGAGGTGCTTGCTGATGGCAAAATAATGAGCAATGGATGGTAGAAGAAGATAGCTATAAACACCAGCTAGGACTGTGTGTAATTGTATGAGTATTTCTTCCTTATTTTGTTAGGAATATTTTTCTGTATATTATATATGTACATATGTATGTAATTATATATAAATATCTTTGTTTTCTTCCCTCTCTTATTGCCTTAACATCCAATCATCTAATGTAATATATTAATAATAATATCAACCTTTATATTACAGCATGCAAGTTATATCAAGGAGAAGATTGAATATCACTTAAGGGCTTTGTATTTTTTTAAAAGAAAACAGTGTATTTTATATTGTGTAAATCATAATTGTATTATCTTGGTTAAAAGTAAGACTTTATGGTTTTTATTTGGAGGTTAAATAGGATAAGAGGATGTATTTTGTGCTGAGCTGACAAGGAGAGGTGTATCATGGTTAATTTTTATGTGTCAAGCAGGCTAGACCAGTTATTCAGCCTGGTATCCCAACAATCGAACGCTAATGTAAGAGCTGCTGTGGAGTCATTTTCTAATACAGCTAATGTCTACAATCAGTTGACTTTAAGTAAATGAGGTTATTTTAGATAATGTAGGTAGACCTCATACAATCAGTTCAAAGGCCTTAAAACAAACACTGTCATTTCTCTGACAAATTCTGCTTTAAGACTTCAGCCCCAATTTCTGTCCAATAATTTTCAACCTTCTAAACTATCCTATGAATTTCAGACTTGCCATCCCCACAATGGTGTGAGCTAAATGTCTTAACATATGTATGTAGATATCTAAGTATCCAGCTGGTTCTATTTTTCTGGAGAATCCTGACTTCCTATTGATAAATGTTGTATGCCACTTCAATTTTTCCATTTTATTATGCATAATTATTGTTATAATATTATTGTTATAATAACTTACAGAGCATGTGTTCAGGCATATCAAAAAATCCATTAAGCACAATTAATGAGAGCAATTTCAATAATACTCATTTCAGAATATTTTAAATGTCATGTCTAAATTGTACTATAAAAAATGTGAGAGCACTTCATTAGTACAGTTGGTTTAATAACGCGATGTTTAACTCATAATGTCATTAAAAATTTCAAACTTAAACTTCTTTTCATGAAAGAAAATGTCTCTCCTTTTTCCCCTATAGGAAAATATTCATCAAATCCATTTTTCCTATTCAGATCTGCATTTTTTAGGGTTTTGTTCATATGGCTGTTTTAAAATAATTGATGTGTATTAACATATAATGCAACAAAAATATACAACTTTCAAATGTTTTCATCTATATCCAGGGATAAATAAAAATAATTTATTTCATTCATATATATTGCAGTTTCACTAGGAAAAAATAAAGCTTGTATAAAAATAAGTTTCTTAAAATACAATTAGAAAACATCATCACTTAAAATATGGAAACAAGAATCACAGTGCATTAGTAGCATGGGTAAAAATGATAAAATTAATTTTACTGCTTACAAAAATCACAATACATAAATGTGACCTACCTCATTCTTGATCCATTTAGAATTTTCATGATCAGTGTAGTGATTAGTTACACAGATAGAAAAGCCCTAGCCTAAGGAAATCTGTTTCTACTATTATTATAAGAGTAACCCAACAAACAATGGTGACAGCCTGGTCTCTGCCCAAGAGAAGTAAAAGTAGAGCTGAATATTCCTGAGGGCCTGCAGGGTTCACCATGCATGTAGCATGGTTCATCACACTTGGCCTGTATCCAAAGGTTTCACCTCTTATGATTAAA